TATCGTGGTTCAACCATGTAAAGCCCCTTTGTTGTTTTAAAAACTACTGTATCAATAAAGTTTGTATTACTACATTATAATAAAGAAAAACATGACAAGTAAGTAAATAAAAACTGCAAAATCCTCTTATTTGAAAGACCACGAGGCATCAAAACAAAAGGTCCTGTCCCTTTAACGGCCACGTGGTCAACGTCGTAGCCTAGGAGACGTTTTGTTTACTTCCGGGTTGTCAGAGCAGAAAACAAGAGGGGCAACAACAACAACACGCCCACGACACCGAGCAAAGCGGATTAAAGTCCCGCAGAGATGGCAGGGGAGGCTGAGAACGGGATACCAGGTAAATAACGACATTTATCTCCTCTCTTCTCACCGCTGCCGGTTCGTAACGGACACTTTTAACGGGAAATGTGAGTTTAAACGGCGGGAGTTGTGTGTAGCTTCAGCTGTAGCTCGCTGGCTAACAGAATAAACCCACTTTAATCACTTTAATCCTCAACACCGCTTCAGTATCTTACTTTATCTGATATTTATATGTGTGTTCAGCTTCTCCCTTTTCTGGACTGTGAAGTACTTTTCTTTTAGAAACGTGCTCTGTAATTAAATATGAATTTTATTCTGTTATAACATAATTAACAGTCTGTACAGATTATGAGATTTTCATCATTTTATGCTACTTTTTACTTAAACTTTACTACATTTAAATGGGAACTTTTATATTTTTTAACTCCAATTGACAAATGAGCTCCACCTTCATCAGCTGCTGCATAAAAATCCTGTTTGCACGTGAACGCATCAGTAATACTAATCCAATAATACCATTAGAGAGTACAGAGTATACTTTCTCTATAAACTCTTAATGTTTACTACTAATTGAGCATTTTTACATTAAGGTTTTGCTGCTTTCAGTCAAATAAAATAAGATTTATTGATCCCACACTCGCTTGTAACAGCAGCTCAAGATGCAAAAAAATAGAAAATATAAAAAGCTGTATATAGTGTACATACAACTCTTATATTTCTTCTATTTTATTTTATTTTAAATAAATAAATAAAATTATATATTATTTATTATAAATTAATTAAAATATATATAATATATTAAAAAATAAATATAATTGCACAGAACAAAATTACACAGACTTATATTTGCACAGTGCAAGTGTAATATAATCTTAACAATGTGTATTAAAGAAAAGAAAAATTATATATTTGTATAACTGCCCAGTAAAGGCATCGTATAATAATCTTAACACTTTTCCACTCCTCCAGATATGGTGAAAATATTTAAAATCTAATATTACTTTTAAAACTTTTAGATTATCTACTTTTTGTGAATCACAACATTAAAGTCAGTGTGATATTTAAGAAATCGTCATATTTAAGCAGCTGTATTAACACATATTTATATGTTCATGTTCGGTTTGACAAATTCAATAATAATGGCGTTTGGTTGAGTCTGACTCGTCTCTTCTTTCCCTCTCTGTCAGAATCAGGAGCAGTTTTCACTTTTGGAAAGAGCAAATTTGCCGACAACATCCCAAGTAAATTCTGGCTTAAGAATGACGTCCCCATAAAGATAGCCTGCGGGGACGAACACACCGCCTTAATAACAGGTAAGACGCATGTTTAAGGTATGGAACTGTATTGAAAAGTGTTTACTGATTCTGTTCAAAGAGCGAATGCTGGATAAAATCTCCAACCCTTCACTGGTGTGGTGTATCACTTAAAACCAAACCCTCCAGCTCAAGCACCCTGGAAATAAACCAACGCTTTCAGGAACTTCTGTCTTTGTCTCCTCAGAAAATGGGAAACTCTTCATGTTTGGCAGCAACAACTGGGGCCAGCTTGGTCTGGGGTCCAAAGTGACTGTGAACAAGCCTACTTGTGTCAAAGGTCGGTCTTTAAATAGCTCTCTGTTCCTTATTTTAGTCCAGAAACAGAGAGTATTGTGTGTAAGTGCTGCCACTGACAGCTGCCTTCAGCCTCCCCAGCAGCAGTGGACAGGAAACTCATTTAGGGACCATAGAATAGATTTCCAAAGTTTAAAAAGTAGGATATGTGCTAAACAGAAATAAGTGCCCCTGGTAGCCTTCATATGACGCGTGAAGGGGGAACCCAGAGATTTGTTTCCTTTATAATCCCAATCTGGAGGGCCCGTAATCTGGTTTAATCTAGAGAGACAGAGACGCTGCTGAGAGACAATTGGTTGCTGCTCAGATTTCTTTGCCCTCCTGCTAATATATGTGTGTATGCGACTAATACCGTGTGATCCACCAGTGCACATGAAGG